CTACACTACTATATCCTCTTGACTCTCAATAAGCTTTCAAATTTCACGTGAAAGTTGCTTCATATAAAACCCATACATTTCTTTGTTTATTTTTCATCCCGGCTAAATTGGATTAATGAATACAATAGAAAAGTTCTTGATAATGACCTTGATCTGAAGGTATTCAATCAAGCATCGCCACCATACAATATCTCAATCATACTCAATCACCTGCCTATTCCAGACAGATAGCATATAAGTCACCATTATCATCACATCTTTTTAACATTAAATATACATACTTCCACTCATCAGTGTCTTCCTCCCTGTCTGTTTTCGGAGTGGAAGATACTTGCGAACCATTATTTTCTGAACCCATTTCATGCAGTATGTCTTCAACTCTAAACATCTTAAATTCTGTTATCAAAATTGATTCAGTCTATGCAATTGATTGGTATGGTATGACTCAGCCTTGAAGGCGTGATTATTCTTTTTAACCCATAGTTTTCCATATTTAATATATTAATTTATCTCTTGCTGAAATGTGTTCATCAGATTTGCTCAACATTACATTTCTGATTGTCGTATAGGATGAGTCAGTATAGACAATCATGTGACTTTCACGCAAAATCCTATAGATAACGTGTTCTCATCATCACAAATCAACGACTTTGAGATTAAGTTTATCACTATGGTAGCAGACATAAATGTACAAGGTAATAATGTACGTTCAAATTGATAACGAAATTAAGAGTCGTCATTTGCCAGACCATTTTTTTTGTTTCAATCGGTTGATAGCGCGTATCCAATCTAGCGTAAACAGTTATTCCTCACGTAAAACTGGTTTAGCTTGAAGGTCATATTGTTAAATTCACATACAGTTCTTTTGCAAAACCAATGACGTTCCTTTAACCAATGGCATAGTATCCTTTATTTTACCAATAACTTTATGAAAATGGGATAAAGACAGAGATAAGTGTGTAACTCTTTTTGGCTATTTATCTAGTCTCGTACTGTCACCCGCCAGATAGCCATGATAAAACAAGAGCACAATAATGAGATAAACTACTGCCACTCTGTTCAGTCCATGATATGAAATTCGTGTGATAGCAATAACAAATTACCTGACATCAAAGGCAGCACATATGGTGAATATGATATGCATATGACTACACCATAAGTATATGAAGACTGAAGTCCTCGTTTTCCTCTCAGATTTGATGTCAAGTGAGATTCCTCTGAAGTGCCAGACTATCCTCTCTGTTTCAAACTCTCCGGAGTTTTACACTGCTGGTAAAATGTAATAACTCTGATGATTACCGCTGTTGAAGATCTTCCATATAAATTAAGAACAGAAGAGGTTCTAGTACAGAACCTAGAGGGGTACACAGGAACGTTCCTAAATTTTAGAAAAGAAGTGAGTTAACAATAATCTTAAAAGGTTAATTATTTAGATATGAAGTAAGCCAATCAATTGGCGGTGACCTGATACCAAATCGTTAGGACTTGTTGATAAGACATATAAGATTAACCCTAGCAAAAGCTTTTGAGAAGTCAAGGTAAATAATGTCAACATCCCCTTTGCGGTCATGAATGATTGTCCATCTGTTCACAGCGGTTCGTCGGTTGGTTACATGAGAGTGACGCTTCCTGAAACCGTAATGTTGGGGCGAAAACAAGTTTGAACTGCCTGCATATGCTGTTGTCACTGGTTTGTTTGTATTCTGAATGGTAGCACATCTTGTGTCTCAACATTTAAAGAATGCGATGCTTGATGGCTGTACGCTGCTTGTAATTTTTAAAGACCGTATGCGGGACAGACTATTTTGTAATACATAAGGTTGTGTGAGGCAAGTAGTCCCAAAGATCGTCCACATCATGGGAGGGTGAATTACCCAGTCCGCCTGCTGTAGATATGCCAGCAAAGTTGGCACATCGAACAGTTTGAAATTCTAACATGTTATTGGTGAGGTGCTTAGGCTCTAGTTTGCTGGTAAAATTGTAGGATATGACGGCATAACCTTTTTTATTCAGAGAATCCAGGATTGAGAGGTCGTCATTTGGGAATTCTTCTTTTGTAGATATGCAGTCCAAACGTAAATGCGTGTGACTGTTTCTACAAAGAGTGGCTAACTTCATATTTCCGCGTAATTCCAGATCTTCATCGAGGTTGACGAACCGAGCTTTGGTATAGTTGTCATCTCTGGTGAACGTGTGTTTAACAACATTGGCTTTAGGTAGATTGAGTCATCTTAGAATCGAGGCATTAGATATCCGGGACGAATAGAGCAGAATAATTTCTCTAACATATTGCTAGGTTTGAAGCGGTTACGAGTTCACTTAGACTGCGAACGGCACAAAGACTAAGTGACTAAAGACTAATAAGCTAGTGTTATAACGTGTGATTGGCCTATTTGAGAGCAGCGTATTATCAATCGAAACAGTGACTCATAAAATACGTGCGAGCAGCCTAGAGTTCTGATTGGCCCTGCTTCCCTGTCTAGCCCAGCCAGTTGAGTCCAGAACACAAGTCTCAGTCTCGGTGATATGAATCATTGTATTTCAAACATACTCTGTTTATACAGCAATCAAACAGACCACAACGTACCATAAAATAGAAAATAACATTTGTACAAGGTTTAACCTTCAGGAAATGACACAAATAAATATTGGCCAATAGGGAAATGACACGTTGGAAGAATGTTGACCAATGGGGAGATGACACTATTCCTCATTAAGGAATAGCATTAGATAATTTCTGGGGTATTTTCTGAATACCCCAACAGCTAGCTATTCGATGCGTCCCAGCCCGACTAATTAAAGGAAGAATTCCAAGCATGGAATGGGAAAATGTATTCCGCAAACAGCCACAAATCAAGATGTATATGGTGAGACATTGATTTATGAACACCTTTGAACGAATATTAAGTGAACTCGAGAAGGATAAGCCAATCAAAAAACAGTAAGTATAGAGTAAAAATATGTTGTGCAAAATCAAGGAGATGTAGTGGATACAATTCTTATACGTGGTCCAAAAACATGTCAAGGCTAGAAAGAGGTTCAGAGGTTCTAAAATCGTAATGCATGAAGTAGAGGAAATCATTCATACGGCTACGGAATAGTCGGCCTCTGAAGCCATGGTAGTTCGGGGTGTTTGAATAAACTAATGATTGCTTTGTACTTCTTGAATGTTTGATTTCGAATTCTAAATACAATACATTCGTTTGTACTTGTGTAGTACTTCTTGATTCAATTGCGTTATTTCTGGGATTATTAGTTCATACTATAATTCAATTACTCCTAATTATCACACAGTCTCAAAACATTCAGCCTCGACCACATAGCTTCAATATTGTTTATATGCACTCCGGTTGTTGAGTACACGAAATGCCACTTGTGGATAACGACACGATGCGCGTAAACAAGCCTTTCTAGGAGTCTGTACACTCTCCAATCATCCGCATATATTGTAGTACCTGACTGCAGCCAATGTTACTGGTGCTTTTATTATCTGGTTCGCGATAATTGTCATAACTTGCCTTAGTTAAGAATTATGTATGGGGTTTCCATGACGAACTGACATAAGCTATAATGTCAGAAATCTATTTAGTCAAATGGATGGAAGGCTTTGGCGTTAAAATCCGAATCTTTTATCTTATACCTGGATGATTCGTCAACAAATTATAGTTTCGCCGTTCTATTTGTCATAGTCGCTCAATTATCACGTTTTGTACTAAATTCCCTGTAAACCGATCGTATGTTAGCATTAAGTACTGAAGTTGAGGCCGTACCCTTGAAATCCCGAAAACACTTCTGATTGGCTCGTCTATAAATTAGTCTCGTCATCGTATATATACAACACAAAAGCGTCCTTGGGGAGCGTCACAAAACAGTATGCTAAAAGACACAACGGACCAATGGCATTCAAGATTCTTCCGAGTAGGAAATACGACATAAAGGTGACAAGACCGTTTTTAGAGCGAAAACAAAGAAATTCAATTTTTCTAAATAAAATTACGAAATTAGGCCTATTTCCAAGTGAGTGCTGGGGATCTAACGTCCCAAACACATGACTGTCGTATTCGAGGTCAGCAGTGGATTAACTGGTAGTTCTTGACGGTTCCAAGTTTTCTGTTCTTAACAGTTCATGAGTGAAATAGTCAGTTCCATTTTGCTTTTGCGTTTAGTCCATGGATCACGTGGCTTATCTGGATACATGTGAACTTCAGTTTGTATTGGAGTCTGTCGGCTTGAAATACTTCAAGAGTGGCATCCACCATTCAGGAGGACGCGAAATTTATCTTCATTAGGCAAGATCCATAATCCCCATCCTTCTTGGCTGATCTCAAGACTTGTCGTGTCGAAGAGTTCATGAGCCTCATGGAGAGCTTTATGGATTTTCACTTTACTATATCGTGCTCCGCATACTGACTAAATTTCTATCAAAAACTTGTCCGTTTAGCATTTTTAACTGCAGTATTCGATCAGGTGCATTTAGGAAGCCTGTATCTAAGAAAAACAAGTTTTATGAGAGAGTCGAACACCGTCAATGTAATGGCGGTTTTGAGTTTCGGAATTTCCTCATTAGTGTCGAAACATGTTGAAGACTCTCTTCTTTACCTTCCTGAGCGTCTTTATTTGTTCGTTCGTCCTAGGATTTCTTATTTTCTGGGTTGATGACAATATTTTCGCAGACCTATCAAAAGAATGGCGATGTTGCCTAGCAGATTTTCAGCATTCAGGTTGCATGCGACACATACCCACCTGCATGAGGCAAACGCGCTCGCTAATTCTACAAGATATATCAGAGTGACTACAGTTAGTGTCATAGCGAACACGATTCAATTATAGAAGGTTTCGCTGGTTATGATGTTTTCAAACTCTAAATACTTGTGACATCTTGAGTGTAGTTGTGTGGTAAGATTACTCGTTGTTGTGGATTACCAATTACCTGGAACTGTACCAAAGAGCGCCGAATCAATCGGTTTAGGAAAGCTCATGTCAACTAATATTGGGGATTTAAAATAGGGGCGGTTACTTTAATGTTTAAGGTCGACTGCCGGAAAAACTAAAAGAGGTTAGGGATTACTAACTGTTGGAAATATTTAATCTCAGTAAATTCCATCAGATTTTTAATTTTGATTCACTATTATTAGGCTTTAACACTGAAACGTTATCCAGCGCAGTTAATTATTGTTTCCCCTGTTTATTCGGTGTCTACTACTTCCAATCTCCCCATTTTGAGGAAAATGTTGTCCGGTTTGGGCAAATTTTGGAGAAACCGCTTTATGAAGCTTTGAAAAATGGCACAGAACCCGAGAGATTTCCCCAGGTCTTGGGAAAATCTTCAATTTTTTTTGGAAATTTAGGGTTTACCGCAATATATTTTGCAGGAATCTTATAACACTTTGAGGTTTTTTTCTAAAATTTCTCCAAGATAGTGAAATTGGGTTGTACATTACTGCCATTAGAAACTGTAATTTCGGTGCCTGTAAACACCCATCAGATGGAAATAACTTATATTTTGAAACCGAGAAAACTAGCTTTTTAAACAAAGTTTTGCCCAAGCAACTTATAAGGTGGAAATAAAGACTAATAAGGAGGAATTTAAGTAGACATTCCGTCAAAAGTAAAGTGAAATGACAGAAAACGTGTTAAAATTCTTTCTTGTTTGCCTGTCACGGGAAAATAATCCAAAATTTTCCTTTTATCGCTCTGTTTAAAACGTCTCTGAATTGTCTAGTTTTTACTTCGATTCATACCGATTTTACTACTGTTCCCCTCAATACTCACTTACTTTTTAGCTGCACACTTGATTACATGCTTCGTTGGCCACCTTTTACCTAACCCCAAATGTTTTCTATGCTTACCTTTATTCCGATAATAAACCATACGATGTCTGCAATCCACTACGTTAAAAAGTGATACATAGTTGGCACTCTCAAGCAACGGTCGTTATGTATTTTCATCGTAAGTGCCAAGTGCTAATGTCATTTACGAAGATCTGCTAAATAATCTACAGGTAATAGGTTATTAATGAAAAATGTGTCGCTGTTGATAAGTGCATATGGAACCAAACAGGCTTATGCAACATAAACTTCATTCGTTCATGGGTTTCAAATGCATGTCGTGAATTCCGCACATGGTAAGAAAAAGCCTTATTAGGAATAAGTTAAAGATAAAAAAAGCATTTCAATAATAACGTCTTTCTTAAACTGTGGCGTTACTATTCCGAACCGAAAATAATCTCCATGTAATTCCTGAAGTTTAATAAACACTGAAATTTACAATGATGTCAAACTGCCATAATTTGTTAAACAATGGTTAACCCGAAGTGTGACTTACCGTTATGTTCGCTAATACTGAACGCTCCACCTATAGAACAGAAATGAATAGCCATAACTTAAAATTAATATATACATGTTCTTGTTTTCTCCAACGACACTCACATTTGTCCCTCATGTCCTGAAAATACCATTGCGTTGCGATGTCATGCAGTTTGCCAAGTTGTTTTTCGTCGACGGATGAAGAAAAAAGCGATATGTTAGTGTGCCTAATGGTTTAAAAAGGTTCGGCCACATCCATATCAGTGGAATTGTACAGAAACCTTTCTTTCCGTCTCAATGCACCTCTGCGAAGTATTAATGAGATTAATGTGCTGACCTCTTCGGTTTCTCTTCGTTTAGTGGCAATGTGTTTTTGTCCGTAAAACTGCTGACACAGTAACCAGCGAAGTTGTTGAACAAGACTAATACGTCCTTTGCAGTCTGGAAACTTTCTATAGGAAATGATGTTTTCTATGTTTGTAAGTCGCCACAGTAGTGGGTGACCTTGTACTTTAGGACTGGCCAATGGTCATCTGTTCGGGCACTCTCCTTCAGGTGCATATCCACAGACAGTTAATTACACACAATCCAATTTTTAGCTGAAGTTAGAACCTGCTCCCAGCGTGGTGCGTCTATATGTACGAACTGCTTATTAGTCGGCTAAACAGTACATAGAAGGTAAGGGAATAGTTTAAAGTAATACTGTCAATAGGAACTTGAAAAATATATTCAAATGAACGTATGTACCAATGGAACAGTTACCACATTATTAACATAGTTAACGGCGATACATTTACAGTCGGTATCGTTAATGGAAACTTATTTGTTCTCATGACTGACTATCGAGCACATAAGTATTCCTATATCATTAGAAGGGGATGGTTCCTCGAAATAATCACATGGGTCGGTGAATAGTCTAAATCTAATTAATCCATTTTTCCTTATATCAGTGACTAGCACAGGCTTTCCGTGCACTATTATTACATTATGCGGCTTAAATGAAGTTATTTTAGTGTTCTTACATATAACTGTTCCGTTTCCGGGGTCAGATTTAACGACTGTTTGTAAATTAGTGGCGGATATACTAGCTTGCAGCCTACCACAGAAAGATATCTCTGCATACCTCTGAGAAGTTTGCTTTGCTACAGCATAACTGCTATGCACTGACTTCCTAATCTTCCTCATATAAGACTCAAATGGGAAGGAGGAAAAAGGGTCTAAATATACATGTGCACGAACGTCATCAGGGAGGTGCTTCAAGAAATGCACGTTATAAACTAAGTTTCCAGGTCCACAACAGCATTCATATTCCTTAAGAAAATTGAGTAAATCATTTTTGACCGAATCTGTTTACGCTGCTACGTAATCTGAAATGCGCTAACAAATACGTCGCCAATACTGAGCGCTTGAAATTCAGGTACAATTGTTGTGGTAAACAATGTCTGAGAATTTCGGGGCCTAAACACAGAAGAGACAATCGACATTGTCGCTTTCCATACTGAGACGAACTTTAATGTCAGCCATTTACGCTGAAAGTCTGAAGGAGTATTTGCAACACAACTTGATATTAACTTATTTATATTCACAATTACAGACTTGTTCATGTTTCTAAGTCCTTTGTGAGACAAATCTATCCATAGATTGACTAGTTTCTCCGTTACACCTAATTATATCATGTGCATTGGATCTAAAGGAAATGTTAAAATCATATTAATGGCACGTGTTTCGAAATTAAAATGCCCTTGATGGTGAATTGATTCAAGCTTCTGACAAAAGCTATCATCAGTTCGCAATGTACGTTCACTATTTGGAAACATCACCCTTCCGTCAAGGCACCAACCAACTACAACACATCTATTACAACTTGCTTTCCCATTGTGATTAACTGTATGTAACATCCAAACGAGCAGGTGTGTCACAGATTACAGCGACCAGTTTTATAGCTATGTATTTATTGAACTTAAAACTACACAGCCCTATGTCGCTCATTTTTTTAAATTCAAAATGCTGTCCGCAGATACTTCGTTAAATTCAGCCGGCCTAGTATTCCCTCCATAGATACCTATCATGGACACGTCACTAAACTTAGAGGCAACGGTGCAAGGACAAATAGCTGTTAGACCACTAGAGATGCTGATCGCATTATGAATGCTTTCCGAAATCTTGTACCGAATTTACCAAGGAGCACTAGAAGTGTCTTACGAATGTTCACAAGTCAATAATTGTGGCTTATTTTAGGACGCATCGTTGCTCCTCTCAAATTCATTGTAGTTGATTTTGTTGCTCAGTCCTAAATTCAGTCAGCAACAAATCATTTCATGTATTACGCCTGCGTTCTCTCAGTGTGGTGCAAAAGTTACTACAGTGTCTTTTTGAAGTTATTGACATTCTTTTTGATGACTAGTTATTTAAAGACAAAGTACTCTTCAGTACTAATGTTTTTCAACTTTGCAATCGATTCCATGTTGTTTCCATTATAAAAATGCATAATATGGTGAGTATTCGCGATTATTTGCACTTAATCATGTGTCCGAAGATTTCTGTAAAGTTTTTTATTTACTGGGTTTGTTAGATTTCGATCATTTTCTTGTCACTATTCAAGTATTTTGTCTATGTTGAATAAGAAAACTATATTTTACAGCTTGAAGTTCTCTATTCCAAATGTCCATGAACTTTGGATAGTACATTTGACAATTAGTAATGGCGGACAAATGTTGATCCTATAGAAAGCAATAGTCTGAGCATGGATAGTTCGACTTTATACCAAAAGTTGTCAAGATATCTACCTTATTCTAAATGCAGAGTAAGTAAATGAGTAATCTTTTAGAAATATATGATCGCAGAATGAAGGTTGCAAATGTAGTACATGGAAGCTCTCAGACAATGCGATAGATGAAAAACTCGTTGAAGCTATATGTGAAAATTGCTGTCATGTTCATTATAGCTTGTCTGATCCAAACGAGAGCACGTGGCTTAATAGTGCAATGCAAATGGTCGACGATGTGGAACGAATGTATATTTTATGTACCAAGGAAGAAGATTATGAAACAAGAAATATATATTTTTGTATTTTAAAGGTAGAACATCTTAAAATCGTCATTTCAATATCATTTCTAGCGCCTTCGCAAGGCGTTAATGAATAAAGTACAACCCGTATTTGATGACAAACCTCCTTTCGAGCGACCTGATATCAATACAGTAAGTATATAAAATGTGAATTCCATTTGATTTTCCAACTTTTAAAAGGCTGTACGAAATGCGTTACTATTCTGTGCTGTCGCCGATCCTCAAAATCCAGAAATAACAATTGAACTGTGTAAATTATTCCTAGCATATGTAAATTCATATAAGATCACATGCCCAAGTCAAAGGATTCAGAAGTATGAAAATAAAACAGGATATAAATTAATATATATGAGGTATTTTGTATTGCATATATACCTATTTGACTCCTTTCAGGTGGATATGCCACTGTTATGCGCCAAAGTTCTGTAATGCCTTACCATATACTGAGGCTACATGTGCATTTGGAAAGAATTTCTTGTTAGCCGTTTTGCCTGAAATTAAAAGAAGACTAATCGAATTTTTCAAACAAGATTCTATAATCCCATCCATGCTAGATGGAAAGATACATTTAATACAACCTTTAACACGGTAACTAGCAATCATTTGTCGTTCTTAAATTTTTAGTGTTATCTTACTCATTCGACTTCATTCCCATTCTAATTATTTTCTATTCAGACTGTGTAATTTGCTGGAAGATAATGTTGACGACAAAACAACTTCCGTCTGGGATCCGTATTTCCAACCACCATTTCGTCCCGACAATGTAATTACACCAAGTGGATTATTACAGTCGATTTCTATTGACCACGTGGTCAATTTCTCTACACATGAACGTAATATAATCATCAGTAGTTCAAGTGAACTGAAAAGTGATTCAGTTGTTACACCGGCTCTCACTGATCTAAAAGCTGAGAAACTGTTTAGTAATCCAGATTTGGTGAATGGTGATAGGGATACGGTAGTTAATACACCTATTAAATCTGAACCTGATGAGTCATTTACAAAACCTGCCAAAATAACTGACCATACAACGCACCGAAGAACAAGTAAGTTAGTAAATTTTCATTGAAGACGGTCACTTTTTTATTTGAATCTTTATGCCTGATCTGATTTTAAGCCCAATTTCTAGTCTGTGATTTTCATTCATCTTATTTCCTGTTTGGGGATTGTGTAGTTTTAGTGGGTTTAAATATCTTTATTCTGAATGTCCCTATTGTTGGTATTGCCGGATCATTGGCAAATAGTTCTATAAAGACCTAAAGCACACGATTTATACGCTAAACCCTTGGACTCATATGTAAACCAAAGTTGTGCGATGTCAAGCAGTATTTCCGGTTACAATTGAAAAGAATGGTCTCTTGATGTGTTTTTACTTGTAATCATACTATTGTTTGTGCTACTTATACTGACAAATATAAGTAATATTTGGTAACAGTCAAAAGTGGAAATGCCTGGAAGCAGAAAGTTGAAATGTAGAGAACGGGACGGTAATCGGAGAGCAATCAAAATAACAACGGAACGAGAGAAATAATCGAACATGTAAAGGGCAGCTCAGAGATGTGTAAATGATATATTTAATGTATGATTTTCACATTTTACTAAGCCACTGTGTGATTTTGCACTAAACAATAAATTGGTTTTCACCGCCTGAGTTCTCGTTCATTACAATACAAACAAAATACTTCAACATTAATTTTTCTATAAAGGCTTCGTAAATAATTAAAAATTATAATTCATTTGCTATAAATCTGTCATCAGTTGTCGAATGAAATCTAATCAAGCCAGTTACGTTTGCTAAGTACATGAGATTATTTTCAGATAAAATTAAAAGTTGGTATTTCAATTGGTCAAAGCTTAAACTCTAAAGACATGTTGATATAACACTAGATAGTCGTTTGAATTAGTTAAAGTAAGTAGATTTAGGATGTCAACCCTTAGTTAAACTTCCACAGTAAAAGATGAAAGAGTAATCTGCCTTCAGACAAAGCAAAAGGGACGATTGGCGAGATATTTAGAGGAACAGTCCATCTGGTTCATCTCTATTCTGTACACCAACATTCTGATGGTTCTCCATTCCCATACGTACGTCCGGATCAGTGCTTGTAACGAACTGCCATTAGAAGTCTCTGTGTCAACTGTTGATCATGTCTATTGAAATCATGGAGTTATCATTGCTGAAGTTAAGCGTAGTATGACACCCTGATGTCTTAGGCCGGTTATTATACGAGTAGAATGGACAAAAGTCATAGTTAACTTGCGCACCATGGCCAGTCGTAATCGTTGATGGGACCCCAAAGTTTGCTATCCAATGCATCAGTTTTCTTACCACTGTTGCTGCTGTCATGTCCTTCAGTGAATAGCTACGGGTCATCTAGTAAATCTGTCGATATGTATTAGCAAGTGTGTATACCCCCTCAAAACTGGTAGCGGTCCCACAACCTGAATATGAATATGGTCAAATCTTGCGTTTGGTGAGGGAAAGACTCCTGTAGACAACATGGTGTACCTGTAGATCTTCAGTTTCTGGCACTATATATATTCTCCCTCTCATTTTCGTGAGTCTATTTGTATTTGACCATATAAATTAATCTGTAATAAGCTTTACTGTTACTCTAATACCTGGGTAAGATAAGTTTAATTCTTCAAAAATACTTCGTTTCATGCTGTAGGGTACAAGGGGGTGAGTTTTACCTGTCGAAATATCATAAGTCAATGCTTTATTTTCATCCACAGGAAAGTTTCGAAATGTCAACATTGTTTTCTTATGTTTCAAAAGTCTATTTAACTCATTATTGAGCTTTTGGGGTTTTGTCATCTCTTGATAACTTGTGTCAGGGATTGTGAAAACATTACTATCTGTACTTGATAATCCATCTACACAGTCGTTTTCCTTCCCTTTTATATATTATATGTCGGTAGTAAACTGCAATGAAATCGAGGTGTTTTAATTTTCTTGGAGAATAATTGGTATGACCGTTTACTACTGCCTATAATCGGTACAAACCATGAACTGTGTGTTTCCTACTATGTATCAAAAATGTTTTATGGATAGATTATCAACAATTCTCGACTAAACATACTATAGGGTGTTTATCTTGGATTGAGTCTTGTAGTATATCGGTAATATAGGCTTGTGCCAATGACAGTCCATGATGTACTTGATCAATATACCTTTGAAAATAAATACATTTTTCTGTTGTAACCCGATGAGTACAAAAATTGTATTTCTGATGTTTCGTGACTTAACATAGGCCGCTTCTTCAGAGTAAATAAATAACTGAAATAAATCAACACAAGTTTAAATGGTCAGAAATACGATTTTTCTACTCATTGGGTCATAACAAAAAATACATTTATTATTAACCTACCAATGTTCAATTTATTTGAAACAATCAAGTCCATCCTTGGCATTTATATCTATAAACCTCTTAGGAATTGGCTGCGTTAGATAATCCGAACAGCATTCTTGCAATTTTGAATAAACCAAGCAGTGTTGTAATTGCTATTTTTGGAACTTCATTTGGTGCTACAGAGATGCAGTGATATCTTCGGACTAAGTCAGTTTTGGTGAATATACTATTACCAACCATGTTTTTGTTCCAATCATGAATGTGCGCCATAGCCTATCTATCCCCATGGGATGATTGAAGGTTGTACCATGCCCCACTCGCTCACCTTGCCAGTTTCTTCTTTTGCTATAACACAACGTTTAAGGTCTAGGGGTCTTCGACGTTAAAAAAGGCGTCCTTTAGTGTCGGTATGGCGTAACACACTATCTCAGACCCTCTCGTTTAAAAGTCTGCTGAAATAAACTAGGAAATTGACAGCAAATTAGTATACTCGTCAGCTGCACGCTGTGGTTTAACTGGTAAATGTATAGACGTTTCAATAGACAGCCTCTTTTATTTCGAACTTAGATCGGCACGTAAAAGCTTCTGGTTTTCAACATTTACGAGTAGTTTGTCGGATGACAGAAAGTTAACACCCATTATAATGGTTAATAATGTAGATGAAGTATGGATTCTACTCACATCGTAAGTTTCATATTGAAAAAAGCATTACACCTGTTACCCGTAGTGTGAAGCATAGGCCACTGACCAAGACTATCCAACCAACTATGTCCCGCAATATCCTTTTCAGGTTTTCCAAGTGCTATTCATTCTTTTGATGTCTACCTCCAATTCCCTATACAATGTTATTTGGTCTGTCTCTTTACCTTTTGTCTTCCGGAACCCAAGTTATAGCTTTCCTAATGATACACTTTGATGATCTCCTCAATGTTTGTACTACCCACCTCCAGCATCTTTTCGTAATTTTCACTTTAACGGAAAGTCGGTTCGTTCGTAGCTATCTCAGGTTGGTGCTGATGGTATCTAGCCAAAAGGCATTGAGTATCTCGCGTAGATAATTGTTTATATATACTTGTACATTTAAGATGATGGTCGTAGAACCGTCTTTGCGTTCGTATTGATTTGTGGCTCTGGTTTACAATATTTCACTGCCAGTTGCTTTGTTGTGTCATATTAGTTGTCTCATATCTCTTTATGTTTTTCAGCCCTTTCCGCTGTCATTGCTGAGTGTTCCACGTGTTTCTGCTTGTTGGCTCTAATGCTCCTCTTCACTGCCTTGTCTGGTTCTGTGTATTCGGTCTGTGCCCTGACTTTCTCTGCTCTTCTTCAGCTGTTGTTAATTGCTGTCTTCTTGTTCTTTCTTTCTTGAATCGTGTCCAAGGTATCAATAAGGATCCGTTCCTTATGATGATGCTTATTGCGGCCTAGAAACTGTTGGCACTTTGAAGTTGGTGCATCTTTGATCCCTTTCCAGTTGTTCTCCATAGTAGTCTCTAGTTTAAGTAGATGCTGTAGTACTTGTAACCTGTTGTCGAGTTTGTCAGTATGTCGAAGTTAGGCTGTATTGAACCTTTGTAATGCTGTTCCTCCAGTTGTCCAGTAGTTCTTTAGCTTCAGTTTCATCTTGGCAACCACCAGGTAGATGGTGATCTGAAGATATGCAGCTCGTCTCTTTGCTCTCAAGTCTTTCATTGATCTTCTGAACTCTTTATTGATGCGAATATGATCGGTCTGGTTCTGTGTAGTGTGACCCTCCGGTAAGACCCATGTAGCTTTGTGTATACGTTTGTGGAGGAGTACAGTACCACGTACAACCATTCAATTGAATGCAGATAAATTTGCAAAGACCTCACCACTTTGGCTCCTTCCTCTCAGTCAGTACGTGTCGTTGCATAATATCTTCATAGTGAGTGTGGTCCGACCCGACTTTGCGTCTAAGTGTCCAATCGGAATGGTCAGGTTCTTTCTCAGTCACTTCTCTACGATCGGCTGCAGCTTCACAATGTTGATGTTTATCGTCTTCATTGCTATTATTGGTGGGTGCACATTACTGGATAACATTGATTGTGGTCACCTCGTTCTATGTTTTGAAGAATGCTTTGATGATTCTAGATCATGAGATACCCATTGTATAAGTGTTTTCGTGTTTATTTGAAGGGAATTAGTGTAAATTTGTGTGTGCAAAGCATTTTCTTCTTCTTTAACAAGGTTCACTGCATTACTGAACTAATTTGGATACATACTTGAATTTCTGCACTTTTTTGTGTACCTAGTCCGATTATACACAAGTATTCGCTCTTTTCATATGGTCGTTTTGATGGAATTTAACGGTACTTATTGACATGGATGGAAACTCTCCTTTTGTCATGGATTTAGAAAAAAACTATTGTGAAATATAGATATATTTCATTCTGTAATTGTTGAACAAAACGTTATTATGTGAGCTGCTTAAAGTTTTTTTTCTATACTGTATCCAGGCTAATTGTTATTTTTTTTCTATTTTTAATCATAAAATAAACATTTAGGCGTACGTCTTCGAAGTCAATTATCAACTAATACACAATCGTCTGTGAGTGATTCAGAAAAATCGAACTGTAAATCAGAAGATAAAGCTGTGGTCACCGATAGCAATACTAAAAAGTCATTGAATGATAAGTTAAATATTTCAGATGTTAGTAGTACAGAATTAGAACAAATTCTACAAGAAATGAAAAACAGTGAAAGCCCTTGTAAAGGATTTTATCCTTTTCAAACGGTAAATTACAAACTTGATTCTTATATTGTTTTTTTTTTAAAATTTGTTCTAGGTATTCATATTCTTTTTTACTCCTTCTTTGCATCTATGCACAAATACTACTTTAATGTTGTATTTGTAAGTGAACTCTAAAAAGTTAACAGTAATGAATAAACTCAAAGCAAACATGAATGATCAAATCTTTCATATTCTGTGTTCATTTTTGGATTTCCTCTTACAGCTATACTTAATACTGTCGTGCCCAATAGGCTATGAGTATATTTGTGTTCTTAGTGTATCAATATGTAGTGGAGTCATGTATGTACGTACGCAGTTCTACGTTGTTGACTGACTGACTGGAGTCATGCTTTCAAACATATTCCATTCACTTCTCTCTAACTATATAACTAGTATCATTAATCATCATCCAAAAATATTACTCATTTATATCTTAAAAGAAATCAGCACAAAAATTCATTTATATTTGAACAATATTAGTACTTTACAAATTAACTGATATTCACACACCTGTCTCGTTCATCATCGTGTAAAAGCACACATGTACTAATTTTCTTAAAATCAATCATTTAGACTCAGATACTCAGTTAAAAGTCATAACTTCGAAATCGTGTTGAATATCCACTTTCATGAATTCAGCATACAGCATACAGAAATGCTTTATTTGCATGTGGTGTGTATTGTAAATATTAATAACCTCTTGTAGAGATAAATTTCTCATCTATTTTGTTATAGTGGTAAAATGCTTAATTGGTTTCTTGATTCAATTGTGGATTGTTTTTTTCTTTTTGATAACTTGCTAGCTTCATTCATTAAATGCAACAAGAGATGCTGCTGCACGTCAAGAAGAATCAGCTGGGAATATTGAATTTCATATAGTCAATAATAGTTTAAATCCTAATCAACCTCCACAAACATATATTTGGCTTTTGGAATTATTAAATGTATTTGCTTTACAATTACCTCGTATGCCAAAGGAATACATTGCACGACTTATTTTTGACCCGTAAGTTTGTATAGATGATATTCATAATTGTTGTTGTTTTGTTTTTTCTGATGGGTTGTTTTCCTTACTCAACTATTTCAAAAGACATACACTTTTTTTGTCAACTAAACTATTATTCATAAATTCCAATATTGAATGATTTAACTGAAATATCTTTTAATTTCGTATACTTAATTTTCTAGATGTATCTCATTGGTTTAAGGATTCTTCTTTCAACTGTTGGATCACAATCCAGCGTCATTGTTTAGAGTTAAAAGTCTATTAGTAGTACTATTTCTCATACAGCAAGTCTTTTGAGTCGGAGTTTGGTATAGTCAAATGCTATATCACATTTGCGATTATTCCTTCCAACTAACAAAAGTGTAGTTATCCAATGTGACAAGACTGAAATTTATAATCAGAAATCGTGAAGGTTCTGTTATAATCATATGTTTAATTATTATACTCTAAACAATTCGCTCAGTTAATCTCTTACGACAGTATAAAAAGATATTTAAGTAGGAATATTATTGTTTTGTTTCCATGAATTATCATGTAAAGTTTATTAATCAGTATGTGATTAATTTTTAACCAAGTCATTAGTATATATATTACCATATCATGACTTTTCAATTCGATGTATAATATGTTCGGTACATACAAATCATTATTACTGATGACTTTCATTTATATTTAGTCTTTTGTTTCATTTATTTCATATGTATATACAGAAAACACAAAAATCTTATTTTGTTAAAAGTTTCGGATTCATGTGAAAAACATGCCATCGGCGGGATCTGCTTTCGTATGTTTCCATCTCAAGGATTTACGGAAATAGTATTTTGTGCGGTAATTTTTAATGAACAAGTAAAAGTAAGTCATATATACATATATGTGGAAGATCCTTAATTATGCACTGATTTTTAGTAGTAAACTTAAATTCAATACATTACTTACTTATCAGCTTCTAAGTAGTATTGCTTCTAAACTATAGAATGAAAAAATTTGCTTATATATGCTTTGTCCTAATTAGCAACATAAACAAATTTTATAACGATGTTAAAAGTAGCAATAACTAATAAAAAGAAGTAATTGGTTTAAAGTAGAATGGCAAATGATTTTGTGGGAGATCTAGACATTTACACAAAATCTCATTGGTAACTTCGCATTGATCATTTCTGTTAAAACTGTAGAACTTCCAAATGAGTAGTACCAATATTCAGTATAGAATGTGGTCTACATACCCAGCGACCTAGCATAATGTGCTATATTGGCCTGAGTAGTATTTAATTGATATGAATTGATAATAACCAAACTGAGGCTTAAAATGAATCACGAATCCTATGACTTATGCTGTTATCTGTGTAATAAATTATTCTTTGCTTAACTGAAATCTTTCAGGTTATAAATCAGTCAATAGTTGTAGACTCTTAATTTAATACCCAAAACTGATCATATATATTACAGATAATATTTAATCCGTATCATGCTTTAGATCTCCAATACATTATTATCATTCATCTACTTATTTCTTTCCTTAATTTCTATTTATAATGTTCATTATTTCCTTCCGTTTTTATTGACTCTGTTCCTATTCTACCAGTAAGTAGTGCGTATGTCATGTCTTTGAGTTTCACTAAATCGTTGCTATAAGGCCTATTCCCGAACTAGTGAAACTTGTATCTGAATTTTTGTGATTTGGGAGAGTGTTATTTATAATTTAGTTTTAAGGAGACTGTCAATATACAATGAATATTACATGCAAATACATTTTACTGCGTGTTCATTGATTATCTGTTGTTAAAATTAAATACAAAGATTGAATTTGGTTAGCACAACTCAGTTTAATATATAATAAAAGCTTATAGAAAGCTTGCTTCGTTACAACACTGACTAACCTACAGCCTATATACAATATCCATCTTATTAGATCATAGAAATAATGAAATTTGTTAATTTGTTGGCAATTGGTACCAATGACGTTAATTGTCATATGTTGGTGACATAAAGGTAGTAATCAACTAAAACACTTGATTCATATCGAATTACTGATTAAAGAATTTAAACGAGTCAATCGAATTAATTTATCAAAAATCAATTTCTGGCAATAAATCATATAATAATTGAAAGATGTGTATTCTTTGTCAGAAATATTTTACCTGTAAAATCTTAGATTGTATAGTAACATGGACCTGTATATCTGAAATTCAACTGTTCAGTATCTTTTATTATTGATAGGAATCTGGTTATTTAGTGTTATAATTTTCATATTTCAATAAATAATACTATTATTGTATTTGCTTATATTTATGGCAATATTTTCTCTCTTCTTTTTCAAGGGGTACGGAACACAAATGATGAATCATTTAAAAGATTATCATTTACAGCATAAAATATTTCATTTTCTTACATATGCTGATTCATTTGCCACTGGTTATTTTAGAAAGCAAGGATTTTCACGTGAAATACGCTTAGCTCGACAAGCTTATTTAGGTTATATTAAAGAGTATGAAGGTGCCACATTAATGGGTTGTGAATTATATCCAAATATTATTTATACTAGATTTTCTGAATTAATTGCAAAACAAAAACAGGTATTTACCGTTGTTGTTACTGTTTGATTCGATTTTTTTCTTGAGTCTGTATAATTGTGTTATAACTTGTGATATATGTGCCCTGTTTAGTGTATAACGTAACGATATCGCTAATCAAAGAGCAGTGAATTATCGATCGGACCAGTGACGCATAAAACCCGTACGAGCAGTCTAGAGTCCTTATTGGTCCTGCTTTCCACCTAGACCAGCCAGTTAAGTCCAGAACACCACTCTCAGCCTCTGCAATATGAATAATCTATTTCAAGCATACTGGGCTTATATATCAACCAGACAGACCACACCGTACCATAAAATATGAGACATTTGTACAAGAGTTAGCCAAATGTGGCTGTGAATGAGGGAGGTAATAATTAATAGACAGGGCATCTTTCAAGAATGGTAAAGCATATAGTAATAGTTCATAGGTCAAAATAAAGCTCATAATAAGATGGACATGAATATGAACAGTTTAGTTACATAACAATTATACAATAAAAATATACTCATAGTATTGGTCCATAAATAGATCCCAAAAGTTACCATTCATCATTCTTATCTGGATATAATAAATTGTAACTTGTTCTCCAAATTGAATGAATGTGACATATTCCTAGCAAATTTTGAAATAGTGTAAATCAAATGTCGTTTGCTATTATTTGAAAGAAACTACTGAATGGTTAACTCTAAACTTTCGAAAGTCATATAGCTGTATTCATTACCTAGGGTACACCTTATAAAAGATAATAATAAGACATTTACTTAATATTTCATTATTATCTGTAAAAATACATTTAGAATTCAGATAACAATTTTGGCTCATTATTGAATATATGTATATAATATTGTTGAATTGTACTGGTTTATTTGGAAAAAAAAGCAAACCATCGATCATATACCATTAGTTTACCACCATTGATTGTGTATAATTCACTGGATACATAAATCAATTTACATTTACGCTTTCATATATTAACTAACACAGAGTATTGAATATGTATGATTAGTGTTTTAATTGTATGAGTTATTGTAATTATATGTAATGGAAAAGTCTTACAGTTTATAATTATTCTGTTTGTAAGAGGTTGTTTATTTTTTGCCTGTCATTTCTGCGTGTTTATTTCAATACTTTTAAGGTTCTGTGTTCAGTTTAGCAAAGTGTTCTATTTTGTGATATTCGATGGTACTTCCAAATTACAAGTGATTGTGATATTCTAATTTTGAGAATAACAGTTTTTTTGTACGATGTTATTGTAAAAGTATAATATTACATTTTTGGAAGACAATTTTTTGAGACGCTAACTAATTGATATGATTGTAGCATTGATTTGGTAGTTTCATTTCATGATTCTTTCTTAATTATTTGATAAAGAGTATCATAAGAAGAAAACTTACGTTTCGTGATTTTATAATAAAGTCCTACCGTGCCTTTAAACATTTTGTTTCGGGAATATTTCCTTGTGAACTTTAAATCTGTAAAGCATCATTCGTGATACGAGTTTGATAATTCCACTTGAATGATAATATCTTGTAAATTATTTGATATTTATTTGATAGGTTATCACCCGGTTGATAGAAAAACGTCGTGAGTCTGTTAATCAAACCTACCCAGGAATACCTGCCAAACTATTTCGTAATGGACCTTTAAGACCAGATCAAATCCCCGGTCTAACTGAGATCGATCTAACTTCAAATAAATTTACTGATTTATTTCACAAAACTCCTAAGACAGAATTATCCGAAACCAATCAAACTTCCATAAATAATCATGTTTCAGTGAAGCGAAAATCGTCAGAAACATTTGGTAAATGTGTTGAGAAATTACACGAGCCTCCGAGAAAACTACGCAAACGTTTACTCGATCCTTTGCCAAGTCCCAGTCTGTTGACTACAAAGCCACAGATGAGAACAAGAATCAGTTCAAGATCAACGCGTTATAATAGCTCAATAAAAATGTAAATTTAATTTGATGACTTATAGGAACTACAAAGAATTACAACGTTTCGTTTTCTAATTTAATTTATTAAAACCATTTTATCATCTCAGCATATAAAATGGCTATATTTAATAATGTATTAGAATTTCATTTATTTAGATGGTTTTTATCGTTGATTAATACTCATTTATAATTCTTAATGCACTACCATAAAGGTAAAATTCCACAAGATTCCCAACGTAACAATGTTCTTTCCAAGTAATAAAGCATGTTCTACCTTATATATGGTATCTTTTCAATCTCGGTAAAAATTCTTGTCATCTCAAAATACTTACCTCAAATAATTAGTTGCCAAGATTATCACAGACAAGAGTGATGATTTGGAACGACAGTAAAAGTTCCACAAATAAGGGATCTAGCTCAGAGAACCCAATAATAATAAGAAAATTCAAGAAACCTCATTAAGTTTAAGGCGTTTTTAAAAAATTCTAGCTAATCTTTTATTTAGTGGGTAAATAGTTCAGTTGTATATTATCCTCTCCTAGTCAGACTTCAATTTTTCCTTCAAGAAATGTTGACTTTATGAATTACATTTAAATCACACTTTTTTAGTTAACCAATTATTAATTGTAATTTCTTTAGATCAGATTCACTGGAACCTGTTTGGATACAAGAAGCTAAACAGTTAGCAGAAAAAATTCGTCCTATCCTAAATGCATTACGTAGTCATATATTGGCTGGTCCTTTTCAAAAACCTGTTACAGTAGATGAAGCTCCAGATTATTATGATATTATTGTTTTTCCAATAGGTAAACAAATTTCAATTTATTCATCTAATCATGCTTACTAAACTAGTAGTGATAAATAACATATGTTCCTAATGGTTGTAAATAATTTTTGTTTTATTCTCATTTTACTTTTTCTGAATTGTTTTTTATGCAAACTTAATAATATTATATTTTAAATAATCTCAGCGATCAGAATTTAAATAATTCCAACGTTTCGCCGGGATTTTGATCATTACCCTGAAGAAGTCCAGGCAAGTTAGCTGGACGAAACGTTGAAATTATTTAAATTTCAATCGCTGAGATTATTTCAAATATAATTTTCACATATAATGACTTCTCTATACTCGGCGCCCAATTTCTGTCAAACTATTGGTTCTAATCTTGACGAATATTCGTATAAACTTAATAATAGTAATAGTCCAAACATTTACAGTTTTAATGAACGGACAATACAATGGAGGACAAATTAGTGAAATATTTATCAGGAATGATTGGGAAGGAAGTGAGATTATTATTATTATTATTACAGCAAGATTTTTCCAGCTTTTTTTCTTACCCCTTCATCATTACATGTATTAACAGAAGTGTCTATAGTTTGCCGTATCAAATTCATCAATTATTGTGGGTAATGTCATTTTGAAAACAAAAGAAGGCATAAGAAAAAAGCTGGAAAAATCTTGCTGTAATAATAGTAATCTTATTTACACTTGTATATATAGATTATGTAATTCTATGATGCGTAGATCCCGCTAAGATTGTAACCATATAGTCAAAATCCATGAACTGTAGTGAATTCACATTATTCAATTTGAGTTATTATTCTCGTTTTATTAACCATTTTAACGAGAATAATTTCTTAACTCTATTCAAATTGTCTCACTTGATCGAATTTTTTATTTGACGAGAGAAGAAAAACCTATCTGTGTGACATGTTACCGGTTCGACGTATTTGTAGGTACTTGAAAATAAAGAAATGTCTCCATTTTCATTCTTCAATAACTAAATCTAGGCGCATAGTCTATTTGTACTTATAGTTTGTTAGATTTTCAATAGAAATTTATTGTATATATACTTACGTTTTATGAATAACTGTTTGTATCTATCATTTGAAGTCACGCCAATATTATCATGTTACATGACATGAAGAAAATAATGGTTGATATTTTGAATAAAACAGTTCTGTTGTTATCGCTTGTGTTTTTGGATATTGTTGTATTCATTTTAAAAGTTCTCTATTATATTTTGAATTTAGAAGCCTAGAAAACATCAGCCCTGTTCGTATAATTAAAACAGATGTTTCTCTGGGCTATAATTAAAGATATCATCAACATAAAGCTAATATAGTTATTGTTACTAATTGACGACATAAGATTAGCTATCCTGTTATATTCTTTTGCTTTTAATATAGACCACAACTAATCATCATTCGTTGAAGGGAAAATTTTACCTTACTCTGAGAAATTTCAATCAGATTTCGATATATACGATATATCGTCTGACTACTCTTGCAATCAAGTTTTCAATTTAATTCTTCACATGTTTTATAAAGTGATTAAGTAACTGGTTATTTAGTAACTAAAGCACGCTTATTAACTAGTAGATTGTAGCTCCGCTTGTAGCTCTTCTAGAGTTACTGCCGGTTCCAAGCCCGGGTAAAGGAGGAGATTTGTTCATGGGGTTAGCGACCACATCCCGTAGAAAACTAACTCTCTAAAAAAACGCTAACCAGAAAAAATAACTCACTGTAGCTTCAAACCCTGTTCCCCTCTGTTTGGTATTGGGCAACCGGATAGTATCAGTAGGCTTTATACAAAACTATATGACTGAAATCTGAATACGGCATACTTGTACTATACAAACTCATTTCTTGGTAAACTGTTTAAAATACCTGATTTTTCTTGAGATATCATGGTTACTTCTACATACTTTTAATTGTCACATGGTTTTGTCTTAACAGCCAATTTGAGTTGGAAAACTTCTGAAAAATGAAATTACAATGCAACTAATCTCTGATGATTTTTAACTTTAACTAAAATAATATTGTCAGGTACTTTTAAAAAAATAATCTCACTTCTTACTCATTTTTTTTTTACAGATTTAGGCACAATGTGGGAACGTTTAAAATCGAATTATTACGTTACGAAATCCTTATTTATTGCTGATATGATGCGAATGTTTCATAATTGTCGTACTTATAATCAACAAGACTCTTATCTTTATAGAAGTGCTAATACTTTAGAACGTTATTTCATCAATAAAATGAAAGAGGCGGACTTATGGCCTTAAATTATATTACAGAATCAACAAATTATGTAACAGTTTAGTAAATTTTGTTTGAATATTTCTCTTATCTGTTTCCTGTTTTTCAGGGTAATACTTCGTACAAGTTTTGTATTTTATAAATTATTGTATAATAGGTGTTATTTTGTGTAAATAACTTATAGTCTTACTAAACTTCGTAAAGTTGATAATATTGCTCAAGTACTATCAATAAACATCTGTACTGAAAATCCTAATTTTCATTTCGAATGGGCTTAATTTCTATACAATATTTTTAACTTATTCCGTGTAAGTTACTGAGCTTTTAAGAGAAATATGAAGAATAAGTGAAGATTACATGGACTAGTGATTGAGCTGGAAGGTGTGCCTAGTTGCTTTGCTGATTACATTAGTAGTCATATTGTAAAATCAAATCGTCTCAGAATTTCAAAACACCACGATATATTCTGTTTCAGGAACTAACTAGCTGACATACAATTAGATTCTCAGAATAGATATATTTCGTTATGAAGTTGTAGACACAACTTTCTTCATGATTTCAACAGATGCATCTAGATAAAATGCTATCCTGAGACAATAATTTCAAGTGGCTGATATAAAACCCACTTCAGAAAAAACGTGAAAAGGATTTAAGGCAAAAGAAAATAATGTTGACTTAGAGACAAACTAGCAACAAATGCACACTGCCATCACCTTTTAGGTATCGTTATCCTGAAAAAGATTGTTTATTAGTCTCTCTTGAAGAAATTTCTGCACACACACATGATCTAGATACTTCATTAATTTATCAGTAACTATTAAAATGACAAATTAAATTAACGATAGCTTAACGGTTGTTTGAATTAATGACAGACCTGTGATGTTTCAATATCATGTCCACTGGTACGCTAAATCCCTTAATATTCATTTAGTTTAACGTTTATGGATGTAGCTGCAATTATTTGCTTTCGCTTCCAACTGTGAAACGTAATTAATATGATACATAAATCAACTGAATAACCCTCTCCAAGATGGATATATCTACCATGCACGCAGCATCGTACACGATATTTAAATGTTACGTCAAGAGATTTCGCAAAACACGTAATAGATGCACGTCACTTTTACAGATGGCTGCAGTTACTTCAAGGAGAATCAGTAGCCTAAACAAAACCTTGTTAATGCGAGAAAACGACTACTTTGGAGTGACATAAAAATTGTCAGAAGCAGCCGATAAGAACCGTGCACTTTAGCATTCTAATAGTGGTTAAGTAGGTGGTTTAACTGTAAACTTACATTGTATCCCTAGGCAACATAATTATAACCCTGATGAGCAAACTAAAATGATTTTAGGAAAAGAAAATAACAGCTTGTTCTGTCGGGATGAAGTTTAGGTCAGATCTTCATTCAAGCCCTGGTGTTCATATAGAATAATAATTGCTTTGTAAATCGCTGCTCGCTTCATTCTCAACACAATATGATAACTTAATGTGCGTTCACGATATTAGAGTTTGGAGAACTGCTAGAAACACCACATTCAAAACTCTCACTTATCCAAAATTTATTCACGGTTACGTATTTAAGAAATGCGGCGAGTATTTTGTACCATCGATATATAAACTGATGACCTGAAAGAACCTACAGCGTAAAATGAAAATAAGTCCTTAGCTTACTACACTTGTACTTTTTCCGTGTTTACAATGAACTTGATAATTAGAAGTGCAGTAATTTATATCAGTATTTTATCTACTCAGTTCATTATTTGCTTACTATCAGACTTCATTCACATAAACATTTATACACCATTAATCAATATAGCACTTAAATATATAACATTCTCAAAAATGCTTTGAATAACTTTCTTATCCTGCCTACATGCACCATCACTCCGTCTGTAGCTCTTCCAGGGTTACTGCTGATCACAAGGCCACATAAGAGAGGAAGGTTGAGCATGTAGTCAGAAACCCCATCCCATGGAAAACAACCTTGCTGTAATATGCTAACCAGAAAAACAATAAAAACCATCTGAAGTGTGGGGTGTGAGTTGAAGGATCTTTATTCATAAGAATTATGACACTTCATGGTGAAAGCCGAGATTCCTCAGACGTCGCGAAGCCAATGCCATTTATAACGCCAAGAGGGACAACTCACGTATATACATGGCATATCCGGACAACGTGGGGATCTGTGAAGGTCAATCAAACAGCTGAGGAAATGAACCCATCATACTCAAATTGAATAGAAAGTATTAGATTTGAAAGGTGTTGTTGTACTCTGCTTATGAAGAAAATGCTTTGCACACACAAATTTACACTAATTCCCTTCAAATAAACACGAAAACACTTATACAATGGGTATCTCATGATCTAGAATCATCAAAGCATTCTTCAAAACATAGAACGAGGTGACCACAATCAATGTTATCCAGTAATGTGCACCCACCAATAATAGCAATGAAGACGATAAACATCAACATTGTGAAGCTGCAGCCGATCGTAGAGAAGTGACTGAGAAAGAACCTGACCATTCCGATTGGACACTTAGACGCAAAGTCGGGTCGGACCACACTCACTATGAAGATATTATGCAACGACATGTACTGACTGAGAGGAAGGAGCCAAAGTGGTGAGGTCTTTGCAAATTTATCTGCATTCAATTGAATGGTTGTACGTGGTACTGTACTCCTCCACAAACGTATACACAAAGCTACATGGGTCTTACCGGAGGGTCACACTACACAGAACCAGACCGATCATATTCGCATCAATAAAGAGTTCAGAAGATCAATGAAAGACTTGAGAGCAAAGAGACGAGCTGCATATCTTCAGATCACCATCTACCTGGTGGTTGCCAAGATGAAACTGAAGCTAAAGAACTACTGAACAACTGGAGGAACAGCATTACAAAGGTTCAATACAGCCTAACTTCGACATACTGACAAACTCGACAACAGGTTACAAGTACTACAGCATCTACTTAAACTAGAGACTACTATGGAGAACAACTGGAAAGGGATCAAAGATGCACCAACTTCAAAGTGCCAACAGTTTCTAGGCCGCAATAAGCATCATCATAAGGAACGGATCCTTATTGATACGTTGGACACGATTCAAGAAAGAAAGAACAAGAAGACAGCAATTAACAACAGCTGAAGAAGAGCAGAGAAAGTCAGGGCACAGACCGAATACACAGAACCAGACAAGGCAGTGAAGAGGAGCATTAGAGCCAACAAGCAGAAACACGTGGAACACTCAGCAATGACAGCGGAAAGGGCTGAAAAACATAAAGAGATATGAGACAACTAATATGACACAACAAAGCAACTGGCAGTGAAATATTGTAAACCAGAGCCACAAATCAATACGAACGCAAAGACGGTTCTACGACCATCATCTTAAATGTACAAGTATATATAAACAATTATCTACGCGAGATACCCAATGCCTTTTGGCTAGATACCATCAGCACCAACCTGAGATAGCTACGAACGAACCGACTTTCCGTTAAAGTGAAAATTACGAAAAGATGCTGGAGGTGGGTAGTACAAACATTGAGGAGATCATCAAAGTGTATCATTAGGAAAGCTATAACTTGGGTTCCGGAAGACAAAAGGTAAAGAGACAGACCAAATAACATTGTATAGGGAATTGGAGGTAGACATCAAAAGAATGAATAGCACTTGGAAAACCTGAAAAGGATATTGCGGGACATAGTTGGTTGGATAGTCTTGGTCAGTGGCCTATGCTTCACACTACGGGTAACAGGTGTAATGCTTTTTTCAATATGAAACTTACGATGTGAGTAGAATCCATACTTCATCTACATTATTAACCATTATAATGGGTGTTAACTTTCTGTCATCCGACAAACTACTCGTAAATGTTGAAAACCAGAAGCTTTTACGTGCCGATCTAAGTTCGAAATAAAAGAGGCTGTCTATTGAAACGTCTATACATTTACCAGTTAAACCACAGCGTGCAGCTGACGAGTATACTAATTTGCTGTCAATTTCCTAGTTTATTTCAGCAGACTTTTAAACGAGAGGGTCTGAGATAGTGTGTTACGCCATACCGACACTAAAGGACGCCTTTTTTAACGTCGAAGACCCCTAGACCTTAAACGTTGTGTTATAGCAAAAGAAGAAACTGGCAAGGTGAGCGAGTGGGGCATGGTACAACCTTCAATCATCCCGTGGGGATAGATAGGCTATGGCGCACATTCATGATTGGAACAAAAACATGGTTGGTAATAGTATATTCACCAAAACTGACTTAGTCCGAAGATATCACTGCATCTCTGTAGCACCAAATGAAGTTCCAAAAATAGCAATTACAACACTGCTTGGTTTATTCAAAATTGCAAGAATGCTGTTCGGATTATCTAACGCAGCCAATTCCTAAGAGGTTTATAGATATAAATGCCAAGGATGGACTTGATTGTTTCAAATAAATTGAACATTGGTAGGTTAATAATAAATGTATTTTTTGTTATGACCCAATGAGTAGAAAAATCGTATTTCTGACCATTTAAACTTGTGTTGATTTATTTCAGTTATTTATTTACTCTGAAGAAGCGGCCTATGTTAAGTCACGAAACGTCAGAAATACAATTTTTGTACTCATCGGGTTACAACAGAAAAATGTATTTATTTTCAAAGGTATATTGACCAAGTACATCATGGACTGTCATTGGCACAAGCCTATATTACCGACATACTACAAGACTCAATCCAAGATAAACACCCTATAGTATGTTTAGTCGAGAATTGTTGATAATCTATCCATAAAACATTTTTGATACATAGTAGGAAACACACAGTTCATGGTTTGTACCGATTATAGGCAGTAGTAAACGGTCATACCAATTATTCTCCAAGAAAATTAAAACACCTCGATTTCATTGCAGTTTACTACCGACATATAATATATAAAAGGGAAGGAAAACGACTGTGTAGATGGATTATCAAGTACAGATAGTAATGTTTTCACAATCCCTGACACAAGTTATCAAGAGATGACAAAACCCCAAAAGCTCAATAATGAGTTAAATAGACTTTTGGAACATAAGAAAACAATGTTGACATTTCGAAACTTTCCTGTGGATGAAAATAAAGCATTGACTTATGATATTTCGACAGGTAAAACTCACCCCCTTGTACCCTACAGCATGAAACGAAGTATTTTTGAAGAATTAAACTTATCTTACCCAGGTATTAGAGTAACAGTAAAGCTTATTACAGATTAATTTATATGGTCAAATACAAATAGACTCACGAAAATGAGAGGGAGAATATATATAGTGCCAGAAACTGAAGATCTACAGGTACACCATGTTGTCTACAGGAGTCTTTCCCTCACCAAACGCAAGATTTGACCATATTCATATTCAGGTTGTGGGACCGCTACCAGTTTTGAGGGGGTATACACACTTGCTAATACATATCGACAGATTTACTAGATGACCCGTAGCTATTCACTGAAGGACATGACAGCAGCAACAGTGGTAAGAAAACTGATGCATTGGATAGCAAACTTTGGGGTCCCATCAACGATTACGACTGGCCATGGTGCGCAAGTTAACTATGACTTTTGTCCATTCTACTCGTATAATAACCGGCCTAAGACATCAGGGTGTCATACTACGCTTAACTTCAGCAATGATAACTCCATGATTTCAATAGACATGATCAACAGTTGACACAGAGACTTCTAATGGCAGTTCGTTACAAGCACTGATCCGGACGTACGTATGGGAATGGAGAACCATCAGAATGTTGGTGTACAGAATAGAGATGAACCAGATGGACTGTTCCTCTAAATATCTCGCCAATCGTCCCTTTTGCTTTGTCTGAAGGCAGATTACTCTTTCATCTTTTACTGTGGAAGTTTAACTAAGGGTTGACATCCTAAATCTACTTACTTTAACTAATTCAAACGACTATCTAGTGTTATATCAACATGTCTTTAGAGTTTAAGCTTTGACCAATTGAAATACCAACTTTTAATTTTATCTGAAAATAATCTCATGTACTTAGCAAACGTAACTGGCTTGATTAGATTTCATTCGACAACTGATGACAGATTTATAGCAAATGAATTATAATTTTTAATTATTTACGAAGCCTTTATAGAAAAATTAATGTTGAAGTATTTTGTTTGTATTGTAATGAACGAGAACTCAGGCGGTGAAAACCAATTTATTGTTTAGTGCAAAATCACACAGTGGCTTAGTAAAATGTGAAAATCATACATTAAATATATCATTTACACATCTCTGAGCTGCCCTTTACATGTTCGATTATTTCTCTCGTTCCGTTGTTATTTTGATTGCTCTCCGATTACCGTCCCGTTCTCTACATTTCAACTTTCTGCTTCCAGGCATTTCCACTTTTGACTGTTACCAAATATTACTTATATTTGTCAGTATAAGTAGCACAAACAATAGTATGATTACAAGTAAAAACACATCAAGAGACCATTCTTTTCAATTGTAACCGGAAATACTGCTTGACATCGCACAACTTTGGTTTACATATGAGTCCAAGGGTTTAGCGTATAAATCGTGTGCTTTAGGTCTTTATAGAACTATTTGCTAATAATCCGGCAATACCAACAATAGGGACATTCAGAATAATGATATTTAAACCCACTAAAACTACACAATCCCCAAACAGGAAATAAGATGAATGAAAATCACAGACTAGAAATTGGGCTTAAAATCAGATCAGGCATAAAGATTCAAATAAAAAAGTGACCGTCTTCAATGAAAATTTACTAACTTACTTGTTCTTCGGTGCGTCGTATGGTCAGTTATTTTGGTAGGTTTTGTAAATGACTCAACAGGAAAAAATCAAGTAGATAAGATCTTTGCCCCCAAATGCCCTGATACGGCCAAGAGTGGGGAGAGTTCGCTCTCCTTCTCGAAATGCTCTCACATGGCCACACGTATACAGCCCCTGCCAGGGAAGTCCTACTCACTGCCTTCTCGTGGCATTACTGTTGTTTACAAAAATGAGAGGACGAAAAGCGAATGTCCGGCGCTTTAACCGGACCCCAAACCAATGGTGCACATGGACTCCAGTATCCTGAAGTAACAAATGGCGTATGAACCAATCGCTGGTCATCGGCTACCATGGGACTGCATCTCCTCACGATGCTCCACTGCCTTGTGGGTCAGACGTTCAGGTCGAAGGCTCGGGATGTGGCCCCCTAAGAAAGCCACCTGCTTTGGTTTGGGCACCCGAGCAGTATCACAGCTCTCACACAAATTAGGTCGATAAAAATATACTAGGTTTTGCGGCATGTATATTTCAATAACAATCCGCATACGATAAGATGTTGAGCCACCTAAGTACATTAATTGAGGAAATCATCAAACTGCATTAAGAGTAAAACCCTAATTTGGAATCCTGAAGGAGAAAGGAAAAGAGGAAGACCATTGAGTCGGAAATTGGAGACGAGAATCAAAAGAAGGAATAGCGACTGTAAAGGTCTGTTCAGGATAGAGTTCGATGGAGAACCCGGGTTGGCAGCTTATGTTCCTCCGATAGGCGTAAGTAAATAAGCTATACGCACCACAAAGAAAACTATGAAAGCATTGAACACGTAAATTGGCGTAAAAGTTTACTAGAACATGTATATAAGAGTGCATAAGAGACTTGTCAATTGTAGCCCTGAGCATCAATGGGATGATTCAAACAACTAATATACATGAATTAAACGTCACCCTATCGCACAAGCAAATGGTTGTATGATATAAGTAGCCAATTGGATAACGCGGTGTTTGAAACAAAAGTTTTCGGATTTGAGTCCTGAAGTGAACACTAACTTTGAAATGAAGGCACATCCTATCAGCGAGGCCTAAATAGGACAGAAGGCGCGTCCTGGATTCCACTGCCAGCCACCATATAAATCTGCTTATAAGACGTAAGTCCTGATTCATAAACATCCGTCTAATAAACTAATGAATGACTTCATGAAGTAAATGTAAATTCAAAACAAGTGTAATTTCAACAAGATTAAAAGTATTAAAATACACTTGACAGTTATGTGCAAACAGAGAAATGCAGACATTCGAAAAAAACATGTTTATTTCATCATAGGATTTATGGAGAAATTTAAAAACGGCGAGCCCTTTAAGAATGTGAGCGAGAAGAACTTGAACTAGAGGATGAACTAGAACCAGAATTCGAACTTGATGAGGAGGAAGAAGATGATCCTGAATTGGAAGAAGACGAAGACGATGAACGGGAAGATGCTTTCTTATCACGACGGTTAATATCTCCAGGTTTTTTATCACCTCGACCAGAAGTTGATTGTAATTTTGCTTTAGGACTATGAGACCTAGGTCGTTTAGGGCCAGTTCTAGAGCTTGGAGGACCTACAAAACATAATAACATTTTAGAAATGCATTAAGAAATCAAATCATCTAGTATTTAAAACAAGAAAACCGATGAATATTGAAATGACTTGACTAATTGAAATATGAACATGAAAAAAAGAAATTTAAAAACTCACATAATTAACTATATTACTTAAAAAGATAAATAAAACCGCCCCTTTTAGAGTCAGCAAAAGAAATTATCTTATGATTAAATATTTGGTGTTCGACAATATATCACATAATCAAATGCGTTACTCAATATCTTAATGAAATAAAGTAATGAACTTACTAGGTCTGCGGTAACGTGATCCCGTAAGAGGAGAACGAGGTCGATTAGTTGAATGACTTGCAAATGGACTACCACTGCTTCCTCGTCGGTTTCTTTTGAGTTCATTATCTAGACGACTGCCACGTGTTCTTTCACGTTCACGCTCCCTAATGCGTTCTCGAATTCGAGAATGCTCTTGCCTATCATGAGTTCGAAAATGATTGTGAGAAGCATGTTTTTTACCAGAATCTTCTTTCACACGATTATGTTCTGTGGAATCATTAAATGTTTTTGAAGTATGTCCTTCGCGATTATGTGACCTTTCACGATCATGCTTCGATGAATCATGGCCTCTTTTTCTAAAAAGCATTAACGAAGGAGTTACAGAGGTATTAATATAAGGTAAATGATAACGACAACAGCTAATTGTTACTTTTTAAAGCCATTGCCTTGTATGACTGATTTTATTCATCACTTTGTTAACATGGCAAAGTATTAATCACAACTTTAAATAAGGATGAAAACAAATCATATCAAATGATATTATATGCGACTTAGCACTTCCATGCAATTTTGATGAATGTATGAAATCAGTAAAAAATTTATAAGCAATCTCTCAAATAAATCTGGTTTTTTATAGATTCAATCTAGTTCTGGGTTCTATTGAAAGTGATCAAATGAAAAAAACTTTTAAACCGTTTTACATATCGAGTAATGAAAACCGGTCAATGTTAAGTAAAATATATAAAGTTACCTGTAGCCTGTTCGTTCATCTGAACGGCCTGCACGATCACTTAGGTGTGCCGTTCGAGAATGAACTTCAGAAACTCTAACTTCTTGTCCATCTATTTGTCCTCCATTCATGAAATTAACTGCATCACTGGCTGATTTGGAATCGACATACTCAACATAACCATAACCCCTATTAAATTCCGGGTGAATACGATCAGGTGGAAGATCAACTGAATGGATTTCTCCCCATACGGAGAATATTTCCTGAATATGAACCTAGAATGTAATAAAAAATAGGAAAAATTTGAAGAAAAAGAAATGTTTATACTGAAAAGATAAAACTAAAAGTTACATTTATATATGCCGACCTTCAAAATATATCCCTAATGTTCAGGATATTACTTTTAATCTACACATTTTGGGTTTCCAAGAAACGACAACGCTATCAAAGCAGTGTACTAAAACGTGACAAGTATTAGATTGATACGAAAAAATGATAAAAGAGATCCTGAGGTAAATCGGATCTATGTAAATTTTAGTGATTAAATGTCGAAAAATTGTATTTTAGAAGTGTACATAATAATTATGGTTTTGCAAATTGCCTTGAAGTATCAGAGGGATTCAACAGATTTTCTAAATCGTGTTTCTTAAAATTGTTGAAGGAAATAGAAAATTAAAAAATGGACTATTACCTTTGTTATATTTTTAGTCAACTTCTCAATAAGTACACGAGTAAACCGACTATCGGATGCAGCATTGTTATTAGGAAGAGATTTTTCCGCATTGTTCTCCTTGTTTGGCTTTGATACAATATTTTGTGATGTTTTATCGCGATTCTTATTTTTTGATGTCTCTGCAACCTTATCATCAGAATCCTGCACTAAAGACGAAAGGGTCGACCCAGTAACAGCTGAAGTATCTGGAACTTTTAATAAGTGATCTGTTGAATTTGATTTAGGGTTACCCTCAGGTTTGCTTAGTTCATCCTTAGAAGTTAATGCACTGACTACTTTTTTCTTTGAATCACCAGGTTCCGATGATTTATAAGACATCTGTTGTGTTTTATCGCTTACTTTAGAATGCATAGAACTTGACTGACCGGCTGGATGGGGACGTTCACTAACGTTTTTTGTATCCGAAGCTAATTTTGAAATGAATAATTATATAGGCATTTAGTACTATAAAAAGGAATTTTGTTTAGCAGACAGACTAAGAAACATAAATAGAATAAAATATTGAGTAAGTAGCTTTAAGTTTAATATATGTGCAAAAATATCTCTTAAATGGGTAACAGACGGCATATTCTTATACCTTTCTTTAACTAATGCGAAGGGAAAATTTGGAGCAGATAATTAACAAATATTCCTATGCTTAATTTTAATGCACAATTTGCAGGAGGTTCAACGGGAATTGAAGCATCAGAAACAAAATGTCTATCCGATCGTAAATAAACAATCGGTATATTTACCTATATCGACCTCCATAAGTAATATATTTTTAATAGATGGGCTTTGAATAACAAATTATTATACTTTGATAACGTAATTGAGTTGTTCGTGTGTATCAAGAAGTGATGAAACAATATACAGCAGAAAAAAGTATTCGCATTTATGAAAGATTAGACCTAAATATAACTCAGTACGTAGACTACATTTTGAACAGTGATATTTTAAGAAAACTCAAATAAACAAGTCGATGTAGTGCATTAGATGATTCAATAATTGATGTGGAAATGTAGAGAAACAGTAAACCTTTGTAATTAAAGCATTAGAACTACTGAACCGCATATAGATGAATTAGTTCCTGAGCTCTCAATGAAATCCGCTCTCTCTAATCGCTTTTAACAGGTAACATACACGAGTTATTGAGATGGTAAATTTCACTACTTTTCTGAGTACAGAGATGTAAAAAAATTCTTGATTAATTTGCTGAATACACTAGAGTTTATACCTTGTTTGTTTATCCGTGGACAAACGTTTACTCTCTTTATTTGTACCGTAACCTCATTCAACTACGGTATGCTATCAAAATATCTAATAAAAGGACAAAAAACTACTATGGTGCTAGTTAACAGGCAAATAACTAACATTGATAAAACGGGATAAATACTTCAAGGATTCGAGAGATACAGTCCTAAATAATATATAAAAATACTGCTGGGGTTGAGTAACAGGTTTATTAACAATATGCACAAAACAATGCAACTACACGCAAACCTGGGACAAGATTAGATTTGTTGGATCCCTTCGATGAATTTGAGGAGTCCGATGCCGAAGAGTCATTCGAATCAGAATCAGATGACGACGAATTGGAATCTGAAGAACTGGATGTTGACGTACGACTTCGTCTAGCACGTCGCCTAGGTGGACTTCGAGTAATCTTAGAATGGTAATATTTCCTGTCGTGCTGTCTGGAACTTGAAGAATGGCTAACCTTTTCTGTACTTTTGAGAGGGTTCTTTTTTGCAGGTATCAAAGTCTTTGTTGAACTCTTACTGGTACTCAAATCTGGCATCTTGTCAACTATAATGCATAACAGAATATGAAATTAACAACAGAATCACAAGTAAACAAAAGTCACGTAAGATCATGATCATATGAATGTAAAATCATGTAATGTAAGGTAACATCGTCAAATCCGAAAATCAGTAGTTCATCGGTCTTAACAGTGACAAAAAAGTAATCTATACTATACAACTACTGTATTTACTTTTATATCAATGGGATAGAGTTAAAAACGCTGTTCTCTGAAAGTCAAGTACAGTTATACTCTGATTATGTTTTTTCATCTCACCACAATAAGTCTTATGAGACATGATAAACTTAATTATTTACCGAAAGATCAACTGAATTAATATAACCAGCTGAATGGAAACAGAAACAGATTTCACCAACTACAAACAAGAACAATTTCTCGTAAAATTGTATTTTGGTTTACAATAAGCTGATGACTAACTGTTTTCGTACATGATCATTTGATTCGATGAAATTTCTAAAAAAGGTATGTTATGAGTAATGATACTATATATTATTTATAGTCGATTTACAGAAAAGTTTCTGAACCTGAACTGCCTAGATATTTGCCCGACAAAGTATGTAAGATATTTATGATTTATTCTCGTGTATCAAAGACAATGAGAATTATTATCAAGACATATTAGTTCTAAACGACTAACCATTAGGCTTAATATTCAACATAGTCCAAACATCAATATAAGCAGTCGTCTTTACATGGAACTTGAGATATAAAATGTTAAATATCAAAGTGAAATGCGTTTGTGGGTCCAGTAAGATTAATAATCTACAAAATTGCTGATGAAAACAGAATATTAAACAAGAAATAATTAATAAAGAAGTTGATGCGATTTTTTGAGGTAAAGCTAGCGTAAGTAAATGCAATTTATAATCAAAAACACATTATTGTAGGTAGTGTTGTAATACATTACTATTTCTGCGGGCTCTACTTGAGTTGAATGCCAGAATATTTATTTTAAGTCAGGTTAAATCAAATCTCAAGGATCATATATAATATAAAAAACAAAAGGATATTTGATATACTGAGAATATGGACGGAATCTGCATTTTATAGTCAAAGTTAAATGAAATATCGTCAAAATGCAAAACAATCAGCACATATTCAAACAGTCACACTTAGAAAAAACCATTCAAGAATTTAGGATTGATAGACAATTTTATTATAACTTTCGAAATTATAATACAGAAATTAATAACATAAGTTTAAATAAACAAAACCCACAGCCAGTAAGATGATTTATACACAAACTCAAAGGACCAATATGTACATAAAGAAAATCTGAAATTCGATTAAACTAAATGAATTTGGCGATTATATGACGGAAATAATATCACATAGGGTAAAAAGAAAATGCGACCATACTTATAGAGAACGAGAACTACCTTGAAGAAAAACAAAATTAACTCAAAAATATCTGAAAGTTTGCTTTTGAAAGTATAGTAAATAAACGTTTAAAAAGTACATGAAGTATTTCAGGTAAGAGAAGATATATAGGCGCAGTTTGATAATTTACAGAAATGTGAAAACGGCATCATCAACAACACAACCTTAGAACATATGTACGAAATATTTGAAATTAAAGCAAATAACTATCAGTTCATCCATTTTCGACAATTAATTGAACCACAAAGACATGGAATACGATCCCAACGATCTTCTTCTAGGTCAAATTTATAGTCATATGTCAATTCATCACCTTTTTCGATATTCTTACTAGCAATTATCACTATGTGGTTAGAATTATCACAGTGGAGTATCTCTGCAGTACAGTTAGGGTCACAAGAATGATTAATATAACGAGCTAAACCACCAGACATAGTTGCATCCACAATCCAATCGTCATCGACTCGAAACATGTATATTCCTCGATTTTGCGACTCATATAAACGTTCTCTTCGATTAGCTACTTCGTTACGAATGACCTCTCCCAGATACTCAATAATGAAGGTACTTTTACTTATATCACGAGCAGCATACAAACCCAGGCCTTGTATTCGAGATCGCGCTAAGACGACATTTGTTTTCCAATCCCAACGTAGTCGACGATACTGTTGAGATTTGCTGGTCACGCTCGGAGACAGAGGACTTAGGTAGGTGGGACTTCCGATATCTGAACTATAAGGATGACCAGGAGTTTCAAGAAAAACGTGGTTGTGGGCAATATACGGATAAGTGTTAACATCTCCAGTAGACTTGCGCCGGATATAAGTCCGAAGCTTTGGTTCAGATCGAGCAGATCCTGTAGGATTTATTGCTAAAGGCATTTCCTGGATTAACTGTAGTTTACCGAATTTGAAAAGGTAATTGCTCAGACGATCTACACCAGGTAAAGATTCGATCGCTCGAATAATATGAGGCTCTGTAAGACCATATAACACCTCACCTTGTATATTGTCCTGCAAAATTCGGAAAAACGACGAACATTTGCGTGACGAATTTATACGAGTTATTATTTTCTGCCAAACACCATCACAAGTCGTATCTTCAAAGAAGACTTTTTCTTCATTTGGTTCTATTACTTCTACAGTAAACTTTACTAAAATAGGATCAACTAGGGACTGATTTACATCATCGGGTCGTACTGAATCTTCTATTCGGCAATCATAACGGCAACGCTGACCAACGTGACGAAAAGACCAATAAATTCGAGAGGTCCAGTAACCGACAGGATATATGAAATTTGATGTATGGAAAACTCCACTAGCTAATTGTTCAGGTAGCAACTGACCTATTCGATGTAATATTAATGTCCCTATACGTAATTTAAGTTTTGGTTCCTTAATATTTTGCATTGAACTGAAATGATCTTCATCTGATATGATTTTTTCGACCTGTGAATGTTCATCTCTGGAAATGTAAACTTTTCTTTCAACAGCTAAGCTATCAAGGTGGGGTATATTATTTGCACTTTTAAGATGTAACGGACAATACATTCCTCGATCAGGGTGAAAAGAACAATTGATTTGATAGGCACATGGTAGGTGATATACGGCTTGGCAATCTGAATCAAAACAAGGTAGGCCAGCTCCCAGATTTTTACAATAGGTGCAAAGAGTTTTCGAGGCCTTTTCTGAAGAACAAGGCACATCCATTAACGAGCCACTAACTGTTTCATACGTTTCGTAACACCAAAGTATACAGTTGAGATGTAACCATTTATCGGTATTGTAGTTAAGCAATCTACTGGTTACATCATTTGATCCATCACCTATTTGATGGCATAACTCGCATACGCGAGTATCAATACATGAAATTTTTTTAGATAGAGAACTTTTCTGGGACATAAGCAAACCAAAAGAGGTTCTCAAAGCATTGAATGAGCATACCGGTGGGCTACCAATAAGTTTTCGCCAGCGAATATTACGCCATCGTTTCACCGTAGAGCTAACCCCAAATAACATGCGATTAGATGTTTCGTTAGGACTTCTTTTGAAATTAACTTGTAAATCTTGAGAAGAAAGACGTTTAGAAGATTGCTTCATACGTTTAGGATGATTACTTTTAACTAAAAAGATGATAAGCGGCTGAGATTCGATTGTTGAAGTGATTGTAAACGGAATATCAAAATTACTAGCACCAGAAACAAATGACGTCATACAGTTAGGTCCCTGTCGTTTCAACCTTGCTAAACAGCTAGAACTGCAAAACGGTAAGTAGCATTCCTTATCGTGAGACTTCCATTTGAATGTCTTCTGAGGTAACATTATTTGCATTTTACAATACGAGCAGGTTGCATGTGCTTCGCAATTAAGTCGATTAGACAAAATAACTTCTTCACAATACTTTTGATTAGAGTTGTGATCGGTTATGAGCCCGGATCCAAGAGAATGATGTTTGTCGCTCATTGCGGGAGAAAGAGGAGGTGTTATGCAACCATTAGTATACATGTCACAGGGCTGGTTTGATGTTAAGAGGTCGAGGGAAGGTACTTGGTTTACAGGAGAAGGAGAAATGTAATTAGAATAGGAGTTTCGACTAAGAGTGCGTTTATATGCATCTGATAAAAAATTTTCATGGTTTAATTTATTCATTTTTTCTTTGGTATCAGGACGTTGAGCTAAGAATTGCAAAATAATGTCATCCGGAATAGGTCTATTTTCAGGTTTACATAAAGACAAAGGAAAACGAAAGTACTTCCGGCCCCGTATATTTACATCATTATTGTAGTTCCCCGAAAAACTGTTTTGAGGAAACTTTGGCGAAGGAATCGGTGGATATAAGTCAAATGAATGATGGAGTGGAGGATCTTGCAGAAAACGATTGACATTTTTTAAAAAAACAGGACCCATTAATGCATCTGCAGGAGAGTTATTTGAAACATTTTCATGGATTTTATCATCTAATGATCTATGACGCTTACCACCACGCTCAAGCACTTTTGAACCCTTCCGCTTACATTTCGACCCAAAAGAATTTCGACATTCAACCACTGGAAAACAATTACTTTTAGTTGCTGAATTTGTTGCATTACTTTTACAATGATGTCTCAGGTCCACATTTTGTGGTGAGATCTTCCTATCAGTATTTTTGATTGATTCTTGAAGTAATACTGGATTCTTATTACGATCATTTGTAGAATAAGCTATAGAAGTTACTGGAGTTTTGTGTAAATAATAGTTATAGTTCGGTGATAACTGTTTTGGTTCAATATGATGAATAGAATTCGCCAAATCAGTAGAACTGGAGTAAACATTCAAAGATCGTTTTCCCATGGAGGAAGTGGTTGATATTTTTCCTGACCCCATAATTATTGGATCTCGGTCACACGTATCATCATTAGCATACTTGTCTCTTACAATATTGTGTTTAATTCCAGACATGGATGGATCGACTTCTTTTAGTAGATAAACTGATGGTACAGTGATATTTTTTACCTTTGAGCATTGGAATTCTGTTCTGTCATATACGAATTCACATCCATCACTGGAAGGCACAGAAGCGTCAGAGACACATGCAGTTTTTCGACGTTGAAGATGATTATACACATTTTGCGAACTTTGGTAAATACTGTTTAAATCCTGAGATTCAAAGCATACTACAGAGTTAGATGTTCTTATGCAATTTGTAGAGGTGGTTGGATAAGTATTTGAGTGATCAAGGATAGCAGAGCATGCAATGACTTTAGTAAAGCCATGGTCAGCTTCAGAAAAACAAACTTTTAAAGGTGAGTTGTTTGACGTAGTTATTTTGTCGGAGGAAATACAAGTTTCACACAGGTGCTGAAAATCAGATCCACCAGACTTATTGTAATTTTTATATTGAAAGGAATGAGCACTATCCAAATTGTTGAAACCAAAAGACGTAAATGCAGAAGTTTTGTTACATGAATATGAAGTTTTAGACGATGTATATTGTGACACTTGAGTATCTGTGAAACACGGGTGAAATGTATGTGAATTGGCGCGGTTATCAAGACCGATGTCTGTACGTACAGACCTGTAGAAGGCACTTTCTAGCATTCGATCTGAATACAAGATAGAACATTCATCATTAGCATTTGAACAATGTCCAACAGGTTGAGGACATGGAGAGAGAGAGCATGCACTGTTTGAATGATCAGTATCAGTTAAATCTGAAGAGATTAAAAAGTTTACTGAACAATGTCCATCTGAACAATCACGAGAGCTACTTTTATCACTCGGCATTGATGGAAGTTCAAATGATCCAGGAGAAGAAACTTCTTTACTTGGTGTCTTGAAAGACGATGGTGATCTTTGAAACGATTCATCGTGAACGGATTCAGATATAAATAAGCCATTTTTATTGCATAAATGATCTTCATCACAATTAGGTGAGCACGAAATAAGTGAAAACTGGCAAACCTCATTTGTTGAAACAGTGGAATTATTATTTGAAGACCCAAAAATATCCACAACGGTCGTCATATCTCGACAACTTGAAACGAATCAAGAGCATTTATCAAGATGAAAATAGGAATCAAAGACAGTGGATAATGCTGAAATTAAAAATGGATGTTAACAAGAAAATTAAGGCAAATAAAATGTATATTTTCGTTATATATATATATATATATATATATATATATATATATATATATATATATATATATAAGCATAAATGTGAGAAATAAATGTTTGAAAACAGGATCATGGAACATAAATAGGAAGTTTGATGGATATGAATTGAAAACGGTTTCCGTCAGTGTTACGATTCCAGGCTTTTGCAACCAAATAAAAGATGTGACATTATGTGTTATGCGTTATTTGCCTTATAACCAAGGGAACTAATTTCGCCAATATTCACTCTACTTACAACTAACTAGAAGTACAATATTCTAGATTATGATTATTAACTCAAATGAAATCGCAGATTTATATTACATTCTGTTTCAGAACAATACATTACAGTACCAAAAAGCTCAAAAAAAGATATATATATTATTGAGAAATGAAGCAACGTTTAGTTGATCGATGTCATCACAACGAATACATGTCGACTGTTAGACAACAATTTATTATTCTTGCTTTTAAGGAATAGGTGCAAACGTCAGTTGCTGTGCTACTTGAAACAATGTTGCTCAAATCTCCTCATCCACATAGGAGGATCTTGAGGTGTATTTTCAATGTTTTTAAAGATAATCATATAACATAATAGTTTTGATGAACTTAAGACAACCGTGATACCAAAAAAATGGTGTTTAGGTACATAACAGACAGAGCGGAGATAGGGAACTAACAAAAAATTTTTTTACTTTGAGCTAACACACTTTGTACAGACTAGTTTTCTCAATTCGACACCATTCAGTATATTTGATGAGAAAAAACTGAAAGCTATGGTTTTAACGCATACATGAAATATCGTCTTTTAAATAAAGCAACTTACGTATTCTATTACACCAAAAGTTTCCATTTTATCATAGAATTCTAAAAATATGATCAGGTACTTGATGAAGAATGATCATAAACTTTAGAATCAGGGAATAGTCAACAGAGTTAAATTTCAGTCGATCATCATCAACATAGAACCTGGCACAGATTTGTGTTGGCTCAATTTGTCATGCCATAATAGCATGACAAGAAATCAACAAAACGCATAGAGGAAGCCATAGAGATAAGGTAGTATTAATGATAAACAGAAAGAATAAGCCTTGGGACAGAGCAAAACGGTATACAGGAATTTAAGATTCAGAGGAATATAGAGAGCAGAATTATCTAAGTCAGTGCAAACGATTATGAGCCGGGTCACGAAGGATCACTAACAATTGATCACGGACATCACGGTTACCTAAAGGACACTAATCAGGTAGTTTGAATCTGCCTACATAACTAAGACCAACAGTCAATGACTTCATGAACTGATACCACGTCTCAATTTGCACCCCCCTAGATCGTTTTCAATCTTTTACCATACTATATATCCCCAGTCTAGATAGATGGTGGAGAGACGTACGTAGTACATATCCCAGACACTTTAATCGATCAAGATAAACTAGCACAACAGTCACCATCCTATCATTACCTAGTACTCAACATCTAAATTCAGAATTCCTAACTCGATGGTCATAAAATATACCAACAATGGTTTCAAGATACCTCTGATAAAGTACTAGTAACCTAAGATTATCTTGTATTTTTAAGAGTAATGTTTCACTTCGCTTCGCAGTATACTCGGTTCTTTGGTTGGCGAAGGTTAATCAAGCTTTCTGAATTAGGGTAGAGATTTTATCAGACACCAACCCAAAAAGGTTGATGGGAATTCAAAGTGCAGTGATCAACATGGTTGACAAGTGCACTACTTATCATTAGTTCAAGTGCCAACGTAAACCAGTCCTGAAGCAAAATTCTGCATTTAGAGGGAGAGAAATACATCCCAAGTATTGCACTGTTGCTTAAGGTGGTCAGAAGACTCTGCATTTTGTCAGCGTTTTCAATAAACAGGACTATATCACTTGCATATTCCAAGTCAACATGTGAATCTTTGGTAGGAGATCGACTCGTGAAAAGTCAGACAATGGGTCAAGTAAAAGTGAAGAAAGTGGATAACTTTGACGAAAATCACTTGGAGTTCTCAATTCCGATGACGATTTGCCATATGCCGTGACTCAACCAATAGCGTCTAAGTGAACAGCTTTCACAAGGTTAATGCACATTTTTGGCAAGCCCTTCAATAACAAACTTCTATAGAACCTGTTGATTTACGGAATCGAACACTGCCTTAAGGTCGAGGAATACAACTAAAGTCGGACGTCAATAGATATGCCCGTGTTCTGAAATTTGACGAAGATTCGGTACACTCACATCACAGTCTGAAACCAGATTGCTTTTCCTGAGTTTAATAGTTAGGACATCGAGAACTTCAACACCTATCTTGAAGAGAGGTCTCGGGGTACCTGGGATATCATTTGATGAACTTGAATAATTAACACAAGTGGTATGTGTGGAAGTCGAAAAGCCATGAAGATGAAGAGTGGAAAAAGGAATATTTGATAGTGAAGTTGGTGTTTAGTTACGAACAAAGTGTGTTCTTTTGATAAAAATTTGAAAACAAATACTGGGTTTAATTACTGAGGTCTAACAGGTCGAATATGAATCAATAGGTGGAGGAAAAGCTACATTCAATGATCCCTGTTGCTGTGAATATACGATTGAATAAAGACAATAATAATCAAAAATAAATTCCTAAATACAATGCACACGAAAGAAGGTCAATCTTACTTTCGCGATGTTTTGTGGTGTAGGAGTAGGTTGGAAGGAAGCTAGGGGTGGCCAGACCAAAACATGGCACAAATCCATGAAGTCACTGACAAATGGACTGAGCCATGTGGGTAGATGTAGACTACTTGGTTGGGGACCGCGAGATGATAGCAACCGATGGTTAGAGACTTTGAATGACATGGCTCAAAATCGTCTGCAATGGAGTAGGTGCATCCTTTCTCTGTGTTCTCTCAAACTCTAATCTTCTGAATTTTTCATGTCCTTTATTTTCTTTCCAAATCTATTCTACTGGACTATACTCCTTAAATAACAACATCAAATCCTAGTGTTGCCTATCACTACCTCTTCCACTACGGGATTTGAATCGATAACTGAATCTCTGTGCTAATGTGGTATGACAACTCGAACTGATGTACGTACGTACGAAGTTCCACGTTGTTACTAACTGAAATCAGAAGACGGCTAAACAGGAATGAAATTATATTCCAAATAATAAGGGTGGATGGAAGTCGGAATCACAATAAGATAAGCTCTAGTACATTTATAATTCTTACATAAAAATATTCTCGAGTCTTTCAATGTCTACGCTAGCACTGATTGGTTAGGAAATAGCCAATCAGCGCGCAAAGAACATGCTTTAATCCACTCTATATTCCGCTAACAACTTCTGTTCGTTAACTTCAAATGTAATTCAGTTGTAATTAGTTACTTGATTTTTTGATGCATTTTATCACTATGATTTATATTCAGCGACAATAATTCAGTTTATAGACTATCATCATTGTAACTGAATACAAATGATTACCTTGAATGTAAATAATAAGTTCCCCAGGATCGTCACCAATACATTTTTTTAAAAAAACTTCTCCCATCCATTGAGCAAGTTATCATTGAAGTGTTGTATATTAGTTCTCTGGTTTGTCCAGTTAGAATAGATTTCATCCCGTATTAGAAGTTTCCAAGCCTTCGTAATTGGAAATACAAAACAGAATTTCAATTCACAACACCCGTGTGAGTCGCTTATGATTAACTTTACACCATGTAGAGCGTCGAGTTTTGTAACGATTTGGTTTCCGACCCACATGACATTTAGCTTGTGAATGTTGCTTTGAAGATGGTAAAGTGGCAAGAGGATTATGCTGTTGGAAACGTTCAGTCAGTCAATGCTTTTTGATGGTCGACGCTAAATTATTTCTATGTGAAGTTCTAGAAGACTATTTGACCCACGACAGAGGAAAAACCTCCCAAATACAAAACCGTGATTACATAGTCTGAAATGAACCTGGTGACATTGGCCAGATGTGTCATTTTACCTATTTTTGAGATGTAGCCTGAATTTAGGAAAACTTTAAATCTTATACTAGCTTATCACAGTTACCATGATTTTTTCTCGAAATGTTAAGATATACGGAATATCTAACAGTAGCTAGAATAAGCTGTAAAAAGCCAGGGGTATCCAAATTAGGACACGATATCAGCTCATGAAATCACTGACTGTTCATCTGAATCATATTGGCAAGCCCACACAGCTTGGATAGGGTCCGCATGACCAGGGGTAGACGTTGAGTGAAATGGCTTAGAATCGGTTAAATGTAAAAGACGGATTTACACTTTATTTTTTTTTAAATTATGAGTTTCTGTGTTCCTTCGCACATACCTTTTCATTTCTTCTTATCGATTTAATGCTGTTTTTCTTATTACCGTTGCTACTACATTATTTCTACTCCTTTGCCAATTCTATTAACTTTAGTTTGTTGTGACGATGTGGTATGGTAATGGGCCAATGTACACTCGTCCCAGGCTCGAAGATGATTGTGGCTGACAGACTGATACCCAACTATCTCAAAATGTTGGTGCTATCATCATTTAAATTGTATTCGGATAGAGTCCCAGAGTCACTCAAATACATTTAGAGCTAGTATCAACATCCCTACTAAAATATGCTGTAATGGTTGGAACACAATAACTCTAGAGAATAGTGAAGTGTGCTATTTTTTGTAGATTAGGTTTTAAGGTAGTCTAACTAAGTAGCAATAAGTCAGACATATTTAGAACTGGATTAAAGGTTGCAATTGTATTGATAGGTTTTAACGTTTTATATCTCGAACTGCAAATTGCTATCATCGTAATCTTGGAATAAGTCACATAACATTTCACTGGATACAGTCGAGAAACACTTAAACCAAGTAATACAACCAGATAGGCAAACT